AGAGATGTGCAAAATAATCTGATGCAAAATATAATACCCAAAACAGTGATCATGAGGGGAGGCGAGTACAAATGAAGGTTATCTAAAATGTGTTTGAAATTAAAAGGTCAGCAATTTAAAACAAGCACATACAAATACAGACTTCTATATAAAAAATCTCATGGTAACCACAAAACAATAATCTATAATAGATATACATAAAAAGAAGAAAAAAGAATCTAAATAGAACACTAAAGAGAGTCATCAAATCACAAGAAAGAGAACAAAAAAAGAAAATAGGAAGAAAGACCTACAAAAACAAATCCAAAAAAATTAAGAAAATGGCAATAGGAACATACATATTGGTTGTCATCACCTTACATGTAAATGAAATAAATGCTCCTACCAAAAGACAGAGACTGGTTGAATAAATACCAAAATAAGACCTGTAAAACTGCTGCCTATAAGAGACTCACTTCAGATCTAGACACATATGGACTCACAGTAAGTGGATGGAAAAAGGTATTCCATGCACCTGGAAATTAAAAGAAAAGTTGGAATAGAAATAGTTGTGTCACACAAAATAGACTATCAAATAAAGACAAGACACAGAGAAGGACACTACATGATGATCAAAGGATCAACTCAAAAAGAAGGTAGCACAGTTTTAAATATATAGGTACCCAACATAGGAGCCCCTCAATATACAAGCCAAATGTTAAAAGACATAAAAAGGAGAAACTGATATTAATACAATAAAGTGGTGGATGTTAGCATCCCACTTACATCAATGGATAGATTAATCAGACAGAAAATCAATAAGGAAACATGGGACTTAAATGATACATTAGGCCAGATGGACTTAATTGACATTTATAGAGCATTCCATCCAAAAGCTGTGGGACACACATTCTTTTCAAGTGTACAAGGAACATTCTCCAGAATAGATCACATGCTAGGACATATAGCAAGCCTCAGTGAATTTAAGAAAACTGAAATTAAATCAAATACTGATATCTTTTCCAACTACAAGGCTATAAAGCTAGAAATCAGCTACAAGAAAAAAACTTGAAAAGATACAGACAGATGGAAGCTAAACAATGCTACTAAGCAACCAGTGCATCACTAAAGAAATCAAAGAGGAAATTTTTAAATGTCTAAAAACTAATGCCTAAAAGAGGAAAATTACTATCCAAAACTTATGGGATACAGCAGAAGCAGTTCTAAGAGGGAAGTTCATAGCGATACAAGTTTACCTAAGGAAATAAGAAAAGTCTCAAACAACTTAACCTTACACAAGAAGCAACTAGAGAAAGAACAACAAACAAAACTCAATGTTAGTAAAAGAAAATAAATCACAAAGATCAGAGCAGAAATAAATGAAAAACAGACTTCAAAAACAACAGAAAGATCAATGAAACCAAAAGTTGCTTCTCTGAAAAGAAAACTAATTCAACAATGAAAAGTTGAAAGCATTTCCTCTAAGATCAAGAGTAAGGATGCCCATTCTCGCCATTTATATTCAACACAGTTTTGGAAGTCCTTGCCATAGCAATTAGAGAAGAAAAGGAAATAAAAGCAACCCAAATTGGGAAAAAAGTAAACCTGTCACTGTTACAAACATTTCTATGTCAACCTTTAGACAGTCTCATCAAGAATAAAAGGGAGAGGACCAAATAAAGAAAATCAGAAATGAAAATGGGGACGTTATAACCACCACCACAGAAATACAGAAGATCATAGGGAGAATACTATAAGCAAATATACACCAATTTAAAAAGACAGTTAGAAGAAATGGACAAATTCTTAGAAAGGTACACTCTCACAAGACTGAACCAAGAGGAAACAATATACGAACAGGTCAACTACAGTACATAAACTGAATCAGTAATTTAAAAATTCCCAACAAATAAAAGCCAAGGACAAGCTTTCTAAGGTGAATTCCACCAAACATCTAGAGAAGAGTTAATACCTATCCTTCTGAAACTATTCCAAGAAACTGCAAGGTAAGGAACACTCCCAGATTCATTCTATGAGACCACCAACACCCTGATACCAAAACCAGAAAAAGATATCAAAAAACAAAATTATAGGCCAGTATCACTGATGAACACAATGTAAAAATCCTCAACAAAATATGAATCCAAACTGAATCCAACAATACATCAAAAGGATGATACACTATGATCGAGTGGGATTTATTCCAAGATATAAGGACTTTTCAATATCTGCAAATTAATGAATGTGATAACATCACATTAACAAATTGAGGAATAAAAACCATATGATCATCTCAACCAATGCAGAAAAAGCTTTTGATAAAATTCAACATCCATTTATAATAAAAACTAGTCCAAAAATAGGCATAGAGGGAACATACCTCAACATAATAAAGGCAATGTATGACAAGTCCACAGCTAACATCATATTCAATGATGAAAAGATGAAAGCATTTTCTGTAAGATAATGAAGAAGACAAAGGATGCCCATTCTCACCACTTTTATTCAGCATAGTTTTGGAAGTCCCAGACACAGCAATTAAAGAAAAGGAAATAAAAGGAATCTGAGCTGGAAAAGAAAAAGTGAAACAGTCACTGTCTGCACGTGGCATTTCTACGCTCTACAAAGGAAATCTTAAAGATGCACCAGAAAACTACTAGAGCTCATGAATGAATTCAGTAAAGTTGAAAGATACAAAATTAATGTACAGAAATTAATTGCATTTCTATACACTAACAACCAAATATCAGAAAGAGAAATTAAGGAAACAACCCCATTTACTATCCCATCAAAAAGAATGAAATATCTGGGAATAAACCCACAGAGGCAAAATGAAAAGACAACCTACAGAATGGAAGAAAATATTTGCAAACATTACAACCAGCAAGGTTGTAATATACAAAATATACAAAGAGCTCACAAAGCTAAGAATCAAAAAAAGAAACAACCCAATCAATAATGGGCAGAAGACCTAAACAGACATTTCTCCAAAGATGGCCAACAGGCACATGAAAATATTTTCAACATCACTAATTATTCAGTTCAGTTCAGTCGCTCAGTCGTGTCCGACTCTTCGAGACCCCATGAACTGCATCACGCCAGGCCTCCCTGTCCATCACCAACTCCCGGAGTTTACTCAGACCCATGTCCATCGAGTTGGTGATGCCATCCAACCATCTCATCCTCTGTCTTCCCCTTCTCCTCCTGCCCCCAATCCCTCCCAGCATCAGGGCTTTTTCCAATGAGTCAACTCTTCGCATGAGGTGGCCAAAGTACTGGAGTTTCAGCTTCAGCATCAGTCCTTCCAATGAANGGGATTGACATATATGCATTACTATATATAAAATTGGAGAAGGAAATGGCAACCCACTCCAATATTCTTGCCTGGAAAATTCCATGGACAGAGGAGCCTGGTGGGGTCACAAAGAGTTGGACACAACTGAGTGACTAACACACATAAAATAGGTAAATAACAAGGACCTACTGTATAGCACAAGGAACCATATTCAATACCTTATAATAACCTATAATAGAAAGAAATCTGAAAAAGAATATATATGTGTGTGTATAACTGAATCACTTTGCTATACACTTGAAACTAACATAACGTTGTGAACTCATTATACTCCAATAAAACAATTGAAACTTTAATGCATCAAAGTACATTTATCAAGAAAGTAAAAAAACAACTTATAGAATAGGAAAAATTATTTACATATCATACATCTGATAAGGGTTTAATACCCAGAATATATTAAAAATTCAATTTACATATCATACATCTGATAAGGGTTTAATACCCAGAATATATTAAAAATTCAATTTAAATAAATTTTAAGATGGGCAAAGGACTTAAGCAGACAACAATGGTAACAATAGCAGAAGAAAATATACAAATGGTCAATAAACAGATGAAAAGATGCTTAACCACATTAGTCAAGCAAGAAATGCAAATCAAAGCCACAGTGAAATACCATTTCACACCTACTACAATGGCTATAACAAAATGGAAGGAAAGAAGGAAGACAGACATAAGTGTTGACGGAGATGTGAAAAACTGGAACACTCATACATTGCTAGTAGGGATGTAAATGGGAATGTAAAATGTTGTAGCCTCTGTGGAAATCAGTTTGATGGTTTCTCAAAATGATAAACACAGAATTACTTATGACCCAGCAATTCTACACCTAGATACATAACCAAAAGAACTGACAGCAGAAACTGAAGAAGATACTTTTACATGGTAATTTTGGTATAAATAAAATTTGAAACACAATTAAAATAAATATTATCAGATCAATTCATCCTGAATAGGCTGTCCAAAAAAAACCAAGAAAATCAAATTAACTAAAAACCAAAAAGTAGCAGAATTTACAAAGAATGTAAGTACTGATATTCCCCTCTTACAGACAGTTAAATTTTGAAGCACTGAATAAATAATTATGAGTCATACATATTAGATTTTTTTTAATTATAAAAAATATATAGTTTACAAAGTACCATATTTTCAGTAAACTTTTACAAAATGTATAAAGGCATTTCATCACATTCCAAAAGTAATATATATCCCTCCTTCTTAAAGATCTGTCCTCATATCTTAAACACACACATAAATTGCTCAAAGAACACAACAGTCTTTAATATTAGCAACTTATTAGACAAAGGAGATATATTTGTTATTAAAAGAAATAGCCAAATTTAGAATTATGACATGTCTTTCTTCTTGAAATAACTGCTTAAAAATTTACAAAGGCACAACTTAAAGAGAAAAAATTAACTTTTATGAGTGTGCACTTCATTGAAATTAAAGTTCACTATTACAGGATGGGAAATAATACACATATATAGTTCCATCTTTTCTCTCTCACACACACATGCATTTTAGTTCCACCCAACTAAAAAGTTGCTAATAAATCAAAGTCTGTGAATTCCAACTTAAGTAATTCTATAAAATACTGCCACCAAAGAAAAGTAATAAAGCATTACCATGGCCATAATAACCCCTACTTACTAACACTTACTGTGTGAAAATTTATCATTTCTTGAAGACTGTCAGAAAATTTGGTCAAACTTGTCTATGAGAAAGAAATCAAAAGAAAACCAAGTCATTTAAGAGCTACTAATATACACTGGAAAAACATAATTTCAGCATTTATAACTGAAAGATCAAGTTACAGTGTAAACAGTAACATATATTTCTCACTAGGACAATCTCACTATTTCTCAGACATGGTCTGCATAGAAGTCTACAGGTAGTAACATAAAACTCAAGAACAGTCAAAGAATTAAACTGCCTATCAATACTATTATACTAACTAATTAAAATGGCATATATAAACCTAAAGGTTAAAAGTGAGCGTATCAAGACTGTGCCCATTTAGGTATCTATGCATCACATAATTACCAAATTTCACCATTCTTTTAACTAGCTATTATTCCTCATAAAAGAAACATTATAATACCACATAATATAGCAAGGGGTCTAAGCTAACACAGCTAGTTGGCCAGAACTTTCCTATGCAGCCCCCCTAAATGTACAGTTAGATACTAGTCTTAAGTTAATGTTCTCTGCTTGCACTAATAAACATGATCCTACCCTACCTGCTCATGTGCCCTTGTAGATGCTTCAGCTCACCTAGCAGCAAGTATGCTAAACAGATATTTATAACATAGATCAACCATCACCTTCTAACTGTCCTAGAACACAGGATTATATAAGATAGCACCAATAGGTGATAGCTTTTCCACTTCTGATTTTAAGGACCACCACTATTATTAATAAGGTAAATAGATATAGTTATTTGATAACATGGTGCATTTATCATTTTAACTAAGTTTAATAATACCAACCTCAACTACAGCATCATTGCTAGAATACTGTGCCAGGTCTCGAATCCCATTCATGAACTGTTTATTTGCAACACAAAAGGCTTTTCCAGTATCAATCATTGCAATACACAGTTTCACAAGCTGAAAAAGAAACACATTGTATAACTGAAAATATTTTTTTAATTAATTGAACAAGTATTATCAATAACGACATGAGTATGCCTAGTTAAGATTACAGTTCATCAGTAAATCGAAACCAAATGAAAAGTATTCTTTTTTTTCCCTTTGGCTTATAAAGTAAATCATAAGAGAGCTGTATCCAAAAAAAAAGATGACCTTTCAGGATGCAGAGGGTGTCTTATAACACCAACCACCAATCAAGTTAATTTTTAATTTTATCAAGTTAAATTCAACCCTGTAATTTAACTCCACAAAAATGTATTAAGCATCTCTTGGAAGGAATAAAAGGAAACTTAGGCAGAGCAAGCAGTTTGACAAAAGAATTTTAAAAACACAACTGTGGTATGGTGGAGGAAATGGAAGTAAACTGGTATTGTGGGTAAGTCATGCTGGTCATTTCAGTATCAGACTTATCAAAGCAGAATTGATTAATCAACCATATTTCTCCAATGCCGACCATTCTAGGCACTATACTAAATCTTAGAACTGAGCTTCTCTCTCTCTTTCCCCACTCCCTCTTTTTCTCTTTCCCTTTTTAATCTTTCTTTTTCCTTTCCATTTCTTTTCTTTTTCTAGCCCTTCTTTTTTCTTTATTTCACACAAAACATCTTCTTTAAGCAAACAATATCTTGGGTGAAAGTTAAACATAATAAAGATAAAAGTGGAGCTGATCTAGAAGAAGGATAATGACAGCATGGGAAGTGGGGTCACCAAGAAGAGGATAAACAGCTCAGGAAAACTTTAGAAGACAACACAAGGATCTCAGGAGTATAATTTGAAACTGTTACCCTGGAATCTGGAGCAACGTTAAATGAAAAAAAATCTCTGTTCTAATCTGTTCTACTAATTCTGTTCTAATTCTCTGTTGTAATTCTCCAAACTAGGCTCCAACAGTATGTGAATCAAGAGCTTCCAGATGTTCAAGCTGGATTTAGAAAAGGCAGAGGAACCAGAGATCAAGTTGCCAACATCTGTTGGATCATCAAAAAAGCAAGAGAATTCCAGAAAAAAATCTACTTCTGTTTTATTGAATATGCTAAGGCCTTTGACTGTGTGGATCACAACAAACTGGAAAATCCTTCAAGAGACAGGAATACCAGACCACCTTACCTGCCTTGTGAGAAACCTGTATGAAGGTCAAGAAGCAACAGTGAGAACGGGACATGCAACAATGGACTGGTTCTAAATTGGGAAAGGAGTACCTCAAGCCTGTATATTGTCACCCTGCTTATTTAACTTATATGCAGAGTAAACCATGGGAAATGCCAGGCTGGATGAAGCACAAGCTGGAATCAAGATTGCCAGGAGAAATATCAACAGCCTCAGATATGCAGATGATACCACCATTATGGCAGAAAGCAAAGAGGAATTAAAGAGCCTCTTGATGAAAGTGAAAGAGGAGAGTGAAAAGGCTGGCTTAAAACTCAGCATTCAAAAAGCTAAGATCATGTCGTCCGGTCCCATCACTTCATGGCAAACAGATGGGGAAACAATGGAAACAATGACAGACTATTTTCTTGGGCTCCAAAATTGCTGCAGATGGTGACTGCAGTCATGAAATTAAAAGGCGCTTGCTTCTTGGAAGAAAAGCTACGACAAACCTAGACAGCGTATTAAAAAGTAGAGACATTACTTTGCTGACAAAGGTCCATATAGTCCAAAGCTATGGCTTTTCCAGTAGTCATGTATGGATGTGAGAATTGGACTATAAAGAAGGCTCAGTGCCAAAGAGCTGATGCTTTTCAATTGTGGTGTTGGAGAAGACTTTAAAGTCCCTTGGACTGCAAGGAGATCAAACCAGTCAATCCTAAAGGAAACCAACCCTGGAACATTCACTGGAAGGACTCATGCTGAAGCTGAAACTCCAATACTTTGGCCACCTGATGTGAAGAGCTGACTCATTAGAAAAGACCCTGATGCTGAGAAAGACTAAAGGCAGGAAGAGAAGGGAATGACAGAGGATGAGATGGTTGGATGGCATCACCGACTCAATGAACATGAGTCTGAGCAAGCTCCGGGCGACGATGAAGGACAGTGAAGCCTGGTGCACTGCAGTCAATGGGGTCACAGAGTCGGACACGACTGAGCAACTGAACAACAAAATCCTAACCATTAGAAAAGCAGGTAAATTCTATTTAGCACAAACACAACTGCTATGCTCATCAAAACTACGCAAGAGAGAACAAAGGAGGAACATCTAACCAGGACTATGGGGTTCAAAGAAGGACTCCTGCAAAAGGAAACACTTGAGAAAAGCCCTGAAGACCAACAGAAATTAGTCAATCAGATAAGAGTAATAAGACATATTTTAGGAAAAGCATGAGCTAACCCTGAAGCTTACAAGGCAGGGTAAACCAGAGGCACTAAGGAGCTTAGTTCAGTGCAAAAATGTACACATGGGCCAGATCAGGAAAAACACGACGGGCAAAGCAAAGGTGTTCACATTTTATAGGAAAGGAAATGGGAAACAATAAAGACACCCTACATCTTAGAAGCATGGCTTAGGGCATCTCTCTTTCAAACAGAGGATGATGGCTTTACATTAGAAAAGAGGACAATTTAGAGATGTAGACAGGGAAAAGAGATGGCTAAAGCAAAGTCTTTCTCAAAGAAGTTAAGTCTGGAAGTGCATAGGAAAGGGATGTTTTTATCACTCAAACGTGTGTGTGTGTGTGTGTGTGTGTGTGTGTGTGTGTGTGTGTGTTTATGTGGAATGGATTAAGGACAGATTCTGTTAAGTTTCTAGATTAAAAGCAAGAAATAAAAAGTGTTCCCCTCAAAAGGAAGACACAAGTTCCTCTACTAAGAATGAAGAATAAGCTGGTAAATCTTGAGAGAACAGTGAATATAAGAGCTGCTAAATATGAATGCTCAAACTACCGCACAATTACACTCATCTCACACACCAGTGAAGTAATGCTCAAAATTCTCCAAGCCAGGCTTCAGCAATACATAAACTTCCAGATGTTCAAGCTGGTTTTAGAAAAGGCAGAGGGGCCAGAGATCAAACTGCCAACATCCGCTGGATCATCAAAAAAGCAACAAGATTTCAAGAAAAAACATCTATTTCTGCTGTATTGACTATGCCAAAGCCTTTGACTGTGTGGATCACCACAAACTGTGGAAAATTCTTCAAGAGACAGGAATACCAGACCACCTGACCTGCCTCTTGAGAAACCTGCATGCAGGTCAGGAAGCAACAGTTAGAACTGGTTATGGAACAATAGACTAGTTCCAAATAGAAAAGGAGTACGTCAAGGCTGTATATTGTCACCCTGCTTATTTAACTTCTATGAAGAATACATCATGAGAAACTCTGGGCTGGATAAAGCACAAGCTGGAATCAAGATTGCTGGGAGAAATATCAATAACCTCAGATATGCAGATGACACTACACTTATGGCAGAAAGTGAAGAAGAACTAAAGAGCCTCTTGATGCAAGTGAAAGAAGAGAGTGAAAAAGTTGGCTTAAAGCTCAACATTCAGAAAACTAACATCATGGCATCCAGTCCCATCACTTCATGGCAAATAGATGGGGAAACAGTGGAAACAGTGGCTGACTTCATTTTGGGGGCTCCAAAATCACTGCAGATGGTGATTGCAGCCATGAAATTAAAAGATGGTTACTCTTTGGAAGATGACCAACCTAGACAGCATATTAAAAAGCAGAGACATTACTTTGCCAACAAAGGTCCATCTAGTCAAGGCTATCGTTTTTCCAGTAGTCATGTATGGATGTGAGAGTTGGACTATAAAGAAAGCTGAGCACCTAAGAATTGATGCTTTTGAACTGTGGTGTTGGAGAAGACTTTTGAGAGTCCCTTGGACTGCAAGGAGATCCAACCAATCCATCCTAAAGGAGATCAGTCCTGAATATTCATTGAAAGGACTGATGTTGAAGCTGAAACTCCAATACTTTGGCCACCTGATGTGAAGAGCTGACTCATTTGAAAAGACCCTGATGATGGGAGGGATTGGGGGCAGGAGGAGAAGGGGATGACAGAGGATGAGATGGTTGGATGGCATCACCGACTCAATGGAGTCAAGTGGAGTTTGGGTAAACTCTGGGAGTTGGTGATGGACAGGGAGGGCTGGCAAGCTGCAGTCCATGGGGGTCGCGAAGAGTCAGACACAACTGAACTGAACTGAACTGAAAGACAGTAAGATAACCTGATTGAGTCTTGAAAAAACTGCTTTGCATCAAGAATCCCACCAATCCGTTTCACCAAACAAGTGTGTAACTTTTCCTTAAGGACTCTGTAGCCCAGGTATGAGACAGAGAATATAGAAGATTAGACAGCCAAAATTCTGCAGAATAGGTGCTATGAAAGGGAAATGGAGGTCTTCAGAAGAGAAATGATGATAGAAAGTTAAAAGCAGGCTATAAGGGTTCACAGATATATTATACTTAACAGCCAAAAAGTGGAAACAACCCAAATGTCAATCAACGGATGAAAAGATAAACATGGCACATCCATACAATGGCATATTATTCAGCCACTAAAAAGGAAATACTAAAGATGTTACAACATATACAGATGAACTTTTAAAACATTATGTTAAGTGAAAGGAGCCAGCCACAAAAGGTCAAATATTGCATGATTCCATTTATATGAAATGTAAAAGAATAGGCAAATCCGTAGAGACAGAATGTTTATTAGTGGTTGCCAGAGTATACAGGGAGAGGGAAATTGGAAGTGACAGCTAATGTGTATAGAGTTTCTTATTAGGGTAAGAGGAATGTTCTGAAATTAAGTAGTAGCAATAGTTGTACACACTGTGAATATACTAAAAAACACTGAGTTGCAAACTTTAAAATGGTAGATTTTATATTAGGTGAATTTAACCTTACTTAAAAAATTATTTTTTAAAAAGTACCCTGAATAAAAAAGGGATCTGAAAGTGGACAGACTTAAGACTAGAGATCTAGATAAACCTGAAAAACAGAAGCAGGAGGAGTCCAAGATGAGAACTGCAAAGACCAGAGACTCCCATCAGAAAGTAAGGTATCAAAGATTATTCCAGTTTCAGAGATTACAACTTTGAGCAACAAGGCACAGCATCTGGCCGGTGAAACAGGTAACAGAATTAAAATAAGGTCACTATCACAGGAGCTGGAGAGAAAATCAATGTGTCATATAGCTGAATCAAATATATACTGCAGTTATTCGGGAGGACTGACTTGGAGATAGATAAATACTTTGCCAGCTGTCAAAAGTTCTTATTAGATGACAGTGACGATAGCTGTAACTAAATCACATAACATAACCTACAAAGAAGGAAGATTTTTACCTAACAGTAAAATGAGGGGATTTTTCCTCTGTTAAAGACAATCTGTCTTCAAGACAGACCAAAGTCTGTTGAAGAGACATCACCAACATTAACATTCATTTAGAACTTACCATGTGCCAAAGCACTTAATATGTATTAACACATCTTATTCACATGATAACCCTATGAGATAGATACTCTTATCTTCCCCATTTTGGAGACAAGAAACTCAGACATAGCAAGGTTTAGGAACTTGCCCAAGGCCCATATGGCTTAGTGAGTGGTAGAGCCTGACTCATATATGGGCAGCGTTGCTCTAGGCTTTGCGCTCTTTCATACTAGACTATGTTATAAACCAAATATTACAATAATATTATAATAATTTCAATGGAAATATATTTTTTAAATGTAAGAAATGTAAAAATGCAAGAAATAATGTAATATCTGGGGAAAAAAAACTGTTTGATAGTACTTGAGCTGTATCTTAAAGGGTATCTACTTAAAAAAGAGCAAGCCATTTCAATGAGAAGTTTAAACAGATATGGAAATTATACCTAGATGGCAACTATGATGCTCTGTGATGTTGCCAATGCCAGAATACCAGGCAGAATGGATAAATAATTGGACCTAGTCAAATAATGCCATTCATTTATGGAGCATTACTCATTAGAAAGAGTGTAACTACCGATGGCATATATTTACAAGCAAAACAAATATAAGCTAAGTCAGCAAACTAGTTAAACCTGTCACTACCATGATTTGCAATGATATTACAGGTACAACTTGCCCTGCACAAAGTTATGAAATCACTAAACTAGCCTTAGATAATCCTTCCCCTCCACTAATGCCATCACCTTCAATAACAACCAGCTCTTGCTCCTCACAGGCCTCTTCTCTAATTGTACCTCCTCATAATTCCAGAGTAAAAATGATCAATGAAAGCTTAAGAATTTGGGAAAGGGACATTATATAAGGGATCAAGATCTTAAAGTAGAGAAATATGTTTTAAAATGTGTCGAAGTTTCCATGATGTCCTTATTGGTCCAACTCTGTTGATATTGTTCAGTCGCTCAGTTGTATCTGATTCTTTTGTGACTCCATGAACTATAACCCACCAGGTTTCTCTGTTCATGGGATTTCCCAGGCAAGAATACTGGAGTAGGTTGCCATTTCCTTCTCCAGGGGATCTTCCCAACCCAAGGGTTGAACCGGCATCTCCTGCTTGGCAGGTAGATTCTTTACCACTGAGCCACCTGGAAAGTCCTGGTACAGACTCAAGAAAGGGTTGAGAGTTCTTAGTACTGTATAGTAATACTCTGACAACTTGCTTTAGATTTGGACTTCTTGGTTTAAGACTCTACCAGTCTCTCAACCCCAACCAAATGATATAAAGGGGTGAAAACAAAAGATAGTTGCTCATAAAAGCAAAATCATTAACAAAATACTGTAAGAGGAGTCTGTTTAGATACTTTAAATTCTGAGGTCCCCCCTGACACACAGGTTTTATTTGATTTAGATGCAAATCTACCCAGACAAAATGGATACCCTCATTGTACTACTCTGTGATTCTTTAAAAAAAAAAGAAAGAAAGAAACTTTATCCTTCTATATATTCTCTCATACATCTACCAGAAAATCAAAGCTACATCTTCTGCTATCTACCTTAAGAGTTTAAAAACTTTGTTTCATAGAGTCCTTAAATATAAATGCAATACATCAGGGTAAAATAATAATAATGATGACAATAATAACAATGATCCCATACACATAATTTTAAATAAAAAATAAGGTTTCTGAAAATATCTTTACCAAAAATTCTAACATTTATTTTTTAAAACATTTGCCTGGAAGTTTGCTAGGGTTCCTCAGAAAACTTTCAAGTAGCATGTGCCCCTCAACATAGACTCAGGAGTACAGTGATGTACAAAAACAGCGCTGAACTAAAAACAGATGGGATTCTAAGCCTAGTTCTGCCTTCTCAAGCTCTGTGATTTGAACCAATTCCTCTTTACTTTCTGGGCTTTGCTACTGTCATCCTGAAAATGGAAATAATCCACTTGCCCCACCGACTTCACAGGACTATTTTAAAATTCCCAAACATACTATATATCAAAGTGCACAAAAATAACTTATTACTAAACATTTTCTGAAATTATTTTGTCTGACATATGTAACAGCTACTGCTTTATATATTTTCTATACTATTTACATTATATATACATATGATTTCGAAACATTTGAAAATCTTCAGTCTAATTAATGTATCTTACATCACTGCTATTCAAAGTGCAGTCTATTCAACAGCATTTGTGTCACCTAAAATCTGGCTAGACAAACAGAATCTCAGATACCAAGACTTACTGAATCTGGATCTGTATTTTCACAAGAACCCCACATATTCCTATGCACAGTAACATTTGATAAGCACTCCTTTCCAAAACAATTCCATTTACAATAGTAAGTAAATAAACAGAAAATTATCTTCAGAAAAGGTATTTCAAATAAACACATTTAGTCTCCAGAAATTTTAACAATGAACAACGGTTACTTAAAATCAGAAGCCATGTCTTATTCATTCTTATATTTCTGTTATACAACAGATAACATTTCTGAGATAGAGGCCAAAAAAAAAGAGATTATCAATAATTAACACAGAAGATAGGAATCAATGTACATTTACCCTTTTATAGAATATGACAATATCAATTATTAAATAAATATTCAGTATTTCTGGCATTAGCTTTAAAAAATGGAATGAGTATTAAAAATTTTATGTTTGAACACAACCAAACCCAAATATACAACCAAGAATGGTTAGGTTATGTATGCTATCCATTAAGCAACAAAAAGTTATACTGCAATCTTTTTGATGGAGTAGGAAACAAACTTCCAACGGTATAAAAGATGACTAGTCAGACAGGGTTCAAATTCTTGCTCTGCCAGTTAGATTAAATTTTCAACCAACTACTTAACATCTCTAGCCTCAACTTCTGTATGTGTAAAATCGGGATAATATTAGCATTTACCTTCATGGATATAAAAGAAATCACACGACCCATCTGGCACTGTAGGCACAAATCAGTATACAAAACAAGAACTACTGTTTTAAAAAGTTAAAGTAAAATTTACCTTATCAAGTTTCAGTTCCAATTCTGCCACATCTCCTTCCACTTCTTCCAAAGCAGCCCTAGAAAAATTAAACAAAAATAAGTTAATGTGTTTAAATGTATACTTTACTCTTGAAAAGTCTAACTCCAAGTGAAAAAGTAGGTATGGATGCTTAAAAACTACACTTCATGTAAAGTGTCAATTCCCTTAGAACAAAGTATGAATATTTCATAATCATGTGTTACAACAGATGATAGATTATTGTCTAATGTAATAGAACACAAGCTAATTTACTCAAAGTATTCATACTCTTCAAATTAATAACACTAGTTAGAACTATTTAGCATTAGGTTTTTAAAAACAAGCAAGAAATTTTGAAAGTTGAGCCTTACAAAACTCGTGTATTTCTATTCAACAAAGCACATGTAATCAAACAACAAAGCATCCTTGGCAACCAAAAATAAAGGCTTTTACTTTTAGAAATAGTCCATAAAGATATTTATTACCCGTATTTAATATACCATTTTGTTTCCAATGTATTTTTAAAGAAATCAGCAGATTCTTTTCCCCTAGGAATGACAAAATTCTAACAGTAAAATAGTACTTGGTATGCGTTATAGGACAACATTTCCAAAATTGGAAATTAAGGGGTGAAGAAAAGCAGCAACTAAAACTTTTTAAGGATAGCAAGATCTTATACTTAAGATTTTGCATACTTAAGAAGGTGACAAAAAAAAGAAGGTGACAGAGGATGAGATGGTTGTACGGCACCATCAACTCAACTGCACATGAGTTTGAGCAAACTCTGGGAGACAGGAAAGGACAGGGAAGTCTGGTGTGTTGCAGTCCATACGGTCACAAAGAGTCAGACACAAATGAGTGACTGAACAACAACAATACTTAAGAGTAAAAAAATGTTATTCATCTACTTTAAGCTATCAGTTTAATTTTCAGACAACTACTCGATTAACTAGCAAATTCACAATATCTGCTTTTTCATTTACCAATATTTGCTTCAAATGGATAACAGTGGGGAAGTAGCCACCCAAAAACCCATTTTGAACTCTGGGCAAGAATTCTCAGTTAGTGATAAGAAGAGAAAAATAGGTAAGATGTAAGCTCTACTCCCAAAAGTACCCACTTAACCTCTGTGTGGCCTCTTGAATGACCATTATCATCAGCTTGTGGTTCTACTTTTCTGCATACATGCTCAGTTGTTAGCCATGTCCCACTCTTTGCAACCCCATGGACTGTATGCAGCCCACCAGGCTCCTGTCCATGGGATTCCTCCAGTAAGAATACTAGAGTGGGTTGCCATTCCCTTCTCAGGGGGATCTTTCTGACCCAGGGATGGAACCCATGTCTCTTAACGTCTCCTGCAACGGTAGGCGAATTCTTCACCACTGAGCCACCTGGGAAGTCCTTCTAATTCTCTACCTGGCAACATTTATTGGAAAAGTTTTCAATCTCCAAAATAAGGAAATTATGTAACTATAAATTACTCAGGAAAGAAATGCCAATTCTATAAAATGAAATATCCTAGCACACCGTTCAAGAAAACAAAAGGCACTATACTTCCACAGCATAGAAAGAGAAATGCTTCTCCCCTAAACTAAAAGTTCATTTTCTGCAGCAGTTTTCCAAATGACACACTGTTCCCTTAGCCTAGAAAACATTTCCCCTTTGCATTAACTTCATCTCTTCAACTGCCTCTGTGTTACTCATCATTTAAACAATTCACAAAATAAAGCATATTAGTTCAAGGATATTTATTTTTTGTAAACAGGTTGAAAACCTACATGCCCAGCAATAAGGAATAATGTAAACAAATGGTGGGCTCGCATCCCATCACCGAGGTAGCAGGTTTTTAAATGAGATTGATCTGTACCTACTGACATGGAAACATGTACATTACAAAGTACCACAAGGGAGGAAAAGCAATTTACAAAATTATATACAGCGTGAGTCCAGTTTCTCTGCAGGGAGGCCCACTGGTATATGCATAAGAAAAAAATCTGGAAGCCTATTTACCAGTCTGCTAACTATAACTCTGAAGAATGGGGATCAGAGAGCAGAGAGTAAGAAAAAGGATTTACACTTTTTATGCTTACACTTCAAGACTGTTTTAATATTTTCAATGATTTTAGATAGCATTTTAAAGTTAATAAAGGGGGTAAGTTCCGATATCACCTTCCCAGGAGGTATGTCCTCTTGGTATCTCTATCTCTGTCTACTTCTCTCACTAGTCTGAGCTCCTGGTAGCAGTGTAGACACTCAAAATGTCTGCTGAGTCAAAAAAGAAACTCCACAATTAATTACTGTCAGAAACTTTCTTCATTGACACTTTTTTTTTGGCCTCACCACAAGGCTTGCAGAATGAATCTTCAGTTCCCTAAGCAACGTTTGAACCCAGGCCCCCAGCAGTGGAAGCAGGAGGGCCTAACCACTGGACCACCAGGGTATTCTCTCTCCATTTATACTTTTAACCTTCATTTAATTTAGCTTGATTCAATCTTCAACTTTAAGAAAATTACCTAAAATAATCAGCTTTAAGATTTGATTTTATCATTGGTTTCTACTAAACATACAGTTTGATAGAAACTTCGTGTACATTCCTCAATTTTATTTCATTGTAGAATTCTATGAATTTATTTGTGAAACACTTTTAAACACCCTTCTTTAAAGAGGTAAAAGTTATGTACAAAAGTATGAGAGAACATGCATTTTGCCTATCATTTCAGAATAAAGCTCTTTGTAATCACATATTCAAAGAATAAAAGGTTATCATGGAGGTTTCTTCAACATTTCACCTTCTCTAAGAAAAAAGTCTCTGTCCTTGGTTATTTAAGATGTGTTTGTGAAAACTTGTAGCAATAAGTAAATAGTGTCTAAGGCAGCCTGATAAGTTGTTGTATATTCTTACTATAAATAAGTCAAATATATGGAAAGAACATAGTCTGGGTTCAAATTCCGTCCTACCACTCATATTTAAGGCTAAGGTATTTTACCTGGTTTTTTTCATCTGTAAACTGAGTAAAGAAATACCTATTTAAAATAAAGGTTAAGTAAAGGTTAAAGGAGGGACTGTCCGTATCACTGGCCACAGTACATATGTCATCACAAAAAACTCAATCCATAAGAGCTTCCTTCTCTGCTTTCCCTTCCCTGAATTCTGAGGTGAATTTTACCTTCCTATTACTTCTACTACTACAGAATCTACTTCTACTTCTACAGAATCATTCTGGAACACATCTTTACTATACAAATGAATAAGTAAAACAATCTACACAACAATCCTTCAAATAGTGAAAGACAGACATCACTCCTTTCCAACTCTCTCAAATACTTACTGAGCATGTGAAAGTGAAAGTGAAAGCCGCTCTGTCATGTCCAACTCTTTGGGACTCCATGGACTATAAGTCCATGGAATTCTCCAGACCAGAATACTGGAGTGAGTAACCTTTCCCTTCTCCAGGGGATCTTCCCAACCCAGGGATCGAACCCAGGTCTTCCACACTGCGGGAGATTCTTTACCAGCTAAGCCACAAGGGAAGCCCAAGAATACTGGAGTGGGTAGCCTATCCCTTCTCCAGCGGATCTTCCCTACCCAGGAATCTAACTGGGGTCTCCTGCATTGCAGGCAGATGGATTCTTTACCAACTGAGCCATCAGGGAAGCCCTTACTGAGCATATAATTTTTGTAAAATGTGCAAGGCATTAAAGGGAAGACATTACTGAGCCTATCCTCCATAGTTTAAAATGTAATAAAATGTATTAAATTTTAAAAGTTACACACACATTAACAATGAAAGAAAACACATGATTAAGTAGCAAAACAAGAAACATGTAAAATAATGTTAAAAGATGGTAAAATAAAGGGCAAAAACACAGAAGGCGGTTAGCAGAGTCTCAGAGGATCATTACGAGAGGGGGGTCAGCAAATGACAGCCTATCAGACAATGTGGCCCTTAACCTACCACCATGTAAACAGTAAGCTAAAAATTTTTGCATTTTTAAATGGTTGGGAAAAAAAAGAAAAATAATATTTAATGACTTATGAAAATCATATTCCAGTGTCCATAAATAAAGTTTTATGGGAACACAGTCAAGCTCATCCACTGACACACTGCCTAGGTAAGCTTTCACATCCTACTGGCAGAGTTGAACAGTAGGGAGAGAATATATGGTCTAAAAAGCTTAAAATATTTGCTACTACCTGACCCTTTATGGAAAAAGTTTACTGACTCCTCGCTATAAATATCAAAAGCAAGAACATGGATAAAAATGCTTTTTAATACATGAATGACATCAGCTCAGGTCAATCGCTCAGCTGTGTCCCACTCTGTGTGTCCCCATGGACTGCAGCATGCCAGGCTTCCCTGTCCGTGACCAACTCCCAGAGCTGGCTCAGACTCATGTGCCTCCTCATCCTCTGTGCGTCGTCTCATCCTCTGTCGTCCCCGTCTCCTCCTGCCTTCAATCTTTCCCAGCATCAGGGACTTCTCCAATGTGCGCATCAGTTGACTAAAATACTGGAGCTTCAGCTTCAGCTCTTTCAACAAGTATTCAGGGTTGATATCTCTTAAGATTGACTTTGATCTCCTTGTCAATCTTATCAAGCAAGGTTTGATCTTTGATCTCCTTGTCACTCTTATCAAACTTGTCAAGCAAGGCTTGATCTCCTTGCTGTCCAAGGGACTTTCAGGAGTCTTCTCCAGAATCACAGTTGAAAGGCATCAATTATTTGACACTGTCTTTTTTATAGTTCAGCTCTCACAACCACACATGACCACTGGGAAGACCATACCCTTGACTACACAGACCTTCGTTGGCAAAGTAATGTCTCTGCTTTTCAACATACTGTCTAGGTTTGCCATAGCTTTCCTGACAAGAAGCAATCGTCTTCTGATTTCATGGCTGCAGTCACCATCCGCAGTTATTTTAGAGCTCAAGAAGAGGAAATCTGTCATTGCTTGCAACTTTTCCCCTTCTATTTGCCAGGAAGTAATGGGGCTGGATGCCATGATCTTAGCTTTTTTAATAGTTTTAAGCTGTCTCTTTCACTCTCCTCCTTTACCC